ACACACAATCCCAGTCTATTTGGTCCAGAAGAACTTCTATGAATAAAACAATCTACAATCTCCCTGATGGCAGAATTTAATGTTTATACCATCTATCACTATATTTTGGCATCTCTATGACTGTTGAAAGTCTTGTTATTGTTTAGTGGCTCGGTCGTGTCCTACTCTTTTGTGACCCCGGGGAATGTAGCCTGCTAGGCTCCTCTGTCCATGGGATTTCCCAGGCAACAATACTGGAGTGGGTTACCATTTCCTTCTCCAGGGGATCTTCCCAACCCAGGGATCAAACCCGTGTCTCCTGCATTGGCAGGCAGATTTTTACCACTGAGTCACCTGGAAAGCTTGTTGAAAGTAACAGAGAATACATAAATGTAGCTACATACATGAGTGGTGAAGAATAGCAAGGAAGGGCAAAAATAGACTCAGAAGGGGGTTTTATTACTAATATATAACAATTACTGAGTGCTTAATGTGTTTCAGGCACTGTACAAGCCTTTTCAATACACAAATCACTTAATCTTGCAACAACTTTATAAGGTACCATTATAATCTCCTCTTATCAAAGGGACAACTCAAGGACTGAAAAATTAAGTAAATTACGAATTGTTCAAACTTACACAGCGAAAGGGCTTCCCAGGTGGTGCTAGTGGTAAAGAACCCACCTGCCAATGCAGGAGACCCAAGATATAGGTTCGATCTCCAGGTTGCGAAGATCTCCTGGAGGAGGGCATGGCAACCCACTCCAGTATTTTGCCTGAGAAATCCCATGGACTGAGGAGCCTGGCACACAACAGTCCATACGGTCGCTTAAGAGTCACGCGTGACTGAAGCGACTTAGCATGCATGCAGTAGCTGAATCTAAGTTCGAGTTGTTTGTGGAGTCTGGTAATGAAAAAGAAAATTGCTATAAATTAAAGATTTACTCGTGGAAAGGCACAGAAGGAAAAAAAGCAAATCATCTGAGAGGTGAGTTGGGCCAAAATGGAGTGAACACTCATGTATGTGTTGGGGTTGAGGGAGAGAGTGTAAGGAAGCGAGGCGGATGAAGACGATCAGAGAGACATGGTGTGTTACAGCCCTTAAAAGTCAAGTGGAAACTCTCAGATACGATGCAGTTGGTGGCAAGGAGCCGTTGCATGATTTCTAAGACAGAGTCATAAGATGAAAATGTTTCACCGGGCTTGAAAAGGCAGTGTTGGAGAGTGTGCTATAATAGCGCACCATTGCAGGCAAGTGGTTAAGAGTGCAGTTATGAGGGCTGGGAGCGGGACTGCTCTCAAGTCCTGGGTCAGCTGCTCACCAGTTGTGTGACCTTGGGCACGAAATGTCAAACCTCAGTTTCTGTGACTGTAAAATGCAAGTAACAATAAAATTACACATGTCAGAAGATAATTGTGAGGTTTAAAAGATTTAATCTCTTTCAAATACTTGGGATAGTTCCCGGCACATAGCCAGTGTTTAGTCAATGCTAGTTACTATTATTCCCATTGGTATGTATTATTATTCCCACAGGTATGTAATAAACTGTGGCAGGGATGCTAATCTTGAATGCTGGGAGAGTACATTAAAGCCTGTGAAAGGACTACAAGCCAGTGGAAGACAGGAAGGTACAGATTATGGGGAAGCACACTTCAAAAGGAAAAATAGCTGCTTGAATGAAGGTGAATGAGTCTAGACTTGCAAAGCAGTTGCTCTCCAAAGGGTTTCACCGGAAGTTAATGAGGTTCATAGTGGGAGTGCCTAGTCCAGCTGTTCAGTGTTACCAGGAGGGGCTGCGGTAATGTGAGACAGGAGTCAGTCTTGAAAATCAACAGTTATGGCTTGGGAGTAGCTAGAACCGTCCATTGTTTTAGGTCCATTGTATTCTATATCCATATCTTCATGCCAGTGGAGCAAAACAACTAATATATATATGTATATATACATATATATATTTATGTATAAGAGCTTTATTGAAAATTCTGTGAGCCATGTACTCCTTGATAGAGATTATCACTTGAAGCTCAAGCCTGTAGAAATAGTGCAATCAACATAATATATGTTATACTTTAAAAAATATCCTGTTACTCAGCCATAAAAAAGAATGAAACAATGCCATTTGCAGCAACATGGATGGACCTAGAGATGATCATACTAAGTAAGTCAGAGGGAGAAAGACAAATATCACATAACATCAATTTTATGTGGAATCTAAAAAACTGATAAAAGTGAACTTATTTACAAAACAGAAATAGAGTTGCAGACATAGAAAACAAACTTTTAGTTAAAGGGAAAAGGGAGTGGGAGATAATTAGGAGTTTGGGAATCGCATATACACAGTACTATATATAAAATAAATAAGAAGGAATTACTGTATAGCACAAGGAACTATGTTCTATATCTTGTAATAATCCATAATGAAAAAGAATCTAAAAAAGAAAAAATATATATATAAAACTGAATCACTTTGCTGCACACCTGAAACTAACACAACATTGACAATCAACTATACTTGAATTAAAAAAAATCCTGCATTGTTTTAGGGAGCATATAGGGCATTTTTCAAGGATACATAAAATACTGAATATATGACAAGATCACATAAACTAAATGAGGGACAAGGTAAAACAAAAGTGGAAAAAAAGAGAAGCATGAATCAGATTAAAAACACATGGGAGAAAGGGGAATTCCTTATACATCTGTCCCAGGTGGATCAAAGGGTTGGTGTTAAGCCTTTAAATGGTTGGGTTGATGCTGTACACACACATTTCCAATTAGAACACAGAGAATATGAGTGATCTGTTAGAAAGGCTAATTAACAGTTTGTAAAGAAAGAAACCTAATTGTATAGCTAAGTAAAAAAAAAAAAAAATCAAGGCAAAGAAAATCTGGAATAAAAGAAGGAAAGAAAATTATGGCTTTGAAATATGAGTTACTTAAAGAAAATGCACTATGCAGTAAAAACTAAAAAGATTTTCTTCTTTTAAACTTTTGCAGTGAGCTGAGAGGTAACTCCTCTAAGCCAGAGAAGGCAGACAAAAGGTTACAAAAACATCCATTTCCCCTGGGTTGACAAGTATGAAAAGCTCTGATGTGAGTTAATGCTGCTTATGAATTAGAATTGTCCTCACAACTGCACACACTTCTCATCAATTTGAGGAAAAGAGAGGACCAGAAAAACCTGTAAATGGTAACAGTAGATATGGCACTAAATTACAACTAAAGTAACATGTTTAAATACACGATACTTTCAGAATCCGAATAAAAATATGAGTTTTAAAAAACCTTGAGAAAAACAGGGCATTCACCTGATGGCTAAAACACCAAAATATTACACTCTTTTACATACATTTCTACCTTGAAATGTCCGTTTCGACTTATATATTTACGAAAAAATCTTCCTATTTATTTCTTGAAGCAGAAAGTGTTCGTCACTCAGTCATGTCCGACTCAGCAACACATGGGTTGCAGTCAATCGGGCTTCTCTGTCCATGGAATTCTCTAGGCAAAAATACTGGAGTGGGTTGCCATTCTCTTCTCCAGGGGATCTTACCCACCCAGGGTTTAACCCCATCTCCTGCATTGCAGGTAGGATCTTTCCCATCTGAGCCACCAGGGAAAAACATTTATTTGTATGTCTCTTCAAATAAAGGATAAACACATACACGTTAGAAACTGTCAAACATACTGAAGAAAACACTTGCAGAAAAATTTCACCTGGCCTTTTTAAAAATGCTGTTTGGAAGGGAATTTTATTTTTTTCACCATATCTTTAATTTGTTGTTATAAAGACAAATATATATGACCTTAAAAAAAAGTAACAAAAGATGTGTAATCTAATGAAAAACAGAATATAAGAGAGCGGAAGGGAATTTTAACTACAGAATGGGCAAGGCTGGAGATTGTTTTATTAGAATATATTGGATGCGGTATCAAAGAAAATTTCCCTTATCTACTCGAGTCACAAGAAGCGAATTGTATAGTGACATTTATATCTATCTATATATTCATAATTTCGTGGGCTTGTGCAGACAAGGGCTCTATAAATAAAAGTCCTCGGTGATGCAGCTGATAAGCGTTCCCCTGCTCGCCCTTTTACTGAGGGGCAACAGAAGCGAGGACATTCCTCCCATAACTCCAACCTGTTCGGTAACTTGGCGCAATCAGGATTCACTAGAAGCGGCCGGCAGCTGTCCCGAGCCTGCGGCTGATTGGCCGAGCGCAGAGCACGGGCGTGGGCTTTGCGCAAGTTCCCCGCTCCCTGCTCCCAGGGCCACGGGAAGCCAGGGAGCGTTGGACCAGCGGCTCTTCAAAACTAAGAGGAGCGGAGATCGCTGTTCGCGCATCCGGCGCGTCTTTCCGCTGGAGTCTGAATCTCTGCTTCCAAGATTCACACCTTAGTGAACATTCCGCGGGAAAGCCCGAGGTAGGGCGCGGGGAGCTGGGGACCAGACGGAGAAGGTTCGGGGGGAGGATGGGTGGGCTCTCTAATTTCCTGAGCTGGGTCCCCTGGGGCGGAGGGCTTCGGAGGAGAGGGAAGGGGAGACTCCAGTTGGCAAGTCCAAGGGGACTAGAAGGGGTGAGACTTACTCTCAGTCGGGGAGCCCTTGAGGCACTCCAGTCTCTAGTTTTTTTGTTTTTGTTTGTTGTTGTTGTTTTTTGCGGTAGTTATCCGTCCTGGAGTCTGCTGCCCGGAGCCTGCAGAGCCAGCGCTGTGCGGGCAGCCGGGCCCTGAGCCCGCGGGCAGATGGATGGCGTGGGGAACCGGGAGGCAGAAGCCGCGGTGGAGGCGGGCAAAGTTCGGGCCGGGCCGCCGCCCTGCCCCTCGGCTCGCGTGCGGAGGCTGGCTGCCTGGCGCGGAGGCATGCCCCTGCGGCGACCCTCGCGGCCACGAGCCGCTGGCGCATCTGGGCGAGCGCCCCGCCCTTCTGCCCGGCGCGCTGTACCGAAGTTCAGTTTCGCGTTAGCCTTCTGGGGATCTTAGGTTTGACTGACCGACTGGGATTGCTCCTCAGGTCGCGATGGATCTTGAAGACGGCCGCAATGGAAGAGCAGCGGGGAAGAACTTCTTGAAAAGGGACAAAAAAAGGTAGTTTGTTTCACTTTCATACTTTACATGGCTTGAGAAACTTGGGAGATTTGTTTCTGGCCTCCAACTCTGAAATAAATGAGCTGATGATGGTGGTGGTGGTGGGTTTTTTTAATCTTAAATGCAGGCAGTTGTGGAGATTCGCCGGCTTGAGTTGAGCCTAGCATTTGCATGGTGAGCTGCTTCCTCAGGTTTCTGGTCCCACACAGACCAAGGCTCATTTCCTTTCGTGTGTTTTATAACCTTCTGCTTCACGTGTGATGTTGATCGTGCATGAGCCTGAACCGTGCGCTGCTTGCGTTCTAACTTGTGGTCCAGTCTCTTCCTTCTGGTAAAACAGTCACACGAACATTGCATGTTTGTGGCACGCAGCAGATGGGACAGAAGGCCGCAACTACTTCTGAGTATTCTTTTTTCTTTTTAAGGCAATGAGTGTCTGACTCTGTTAGAAGTAATTGTGAGGCGAGTGTACTACCAAAGAGTTATTAGAATGGTGTAAAATTATCCTGACTGTATATAGAATTGGTTCTGTAATCACATAGGAAAAATAATTATCTTAAGTAAATTTTGATCACAGTGCAGTATCTGTACAGGAAATTTTTAATTTCATTCAATAAGCTCTTTGTTAGTAATAAATGATAAAATTAAATTAGTAAAGATATTAATATTATTAGAAACCAAGCTTTTCAGTGTAAGAGAAAAGACATACAAGTGTGGACTTTTTAAAAGTAGACTTTTTAAAAACAATGTTGAATCTGAATGTGATTCCATGATTTTTTTTAATAGGTCAGGTTCTGTCCATTGAAATGGATAGTGAGTGGCAAAGAGCACACTCAACGTCAGTCTTGGTTTCTCAGTATCCTTCCTTAGGAAAAAGGAATCTGCACCCCAAAGAGAAAGGGTTAATGCCAGTTGACCTGAGCTTGGAGTATCTTGTGGTACCTGAAAGCAAGAGGCGGAAGGCGATTACCAAAAAGGACATAGGAACTGGCTTGAAGGGGCTTTCACTGGCCCAAATCTGGGACAGTTTGAGCATCAACAAGAATAATGACTGTACTTGATTGTGAAATACGGAGTAGATTAATTTTTAGTAAAATTTGAGAGGAGGAGGGAAACTAAGAGGGGGAGAGAGAGAGAGGGAGAACGTTCTTCACCGAAAAATGTTGAAACCTGCCTTGTTACAATTGGTTCAGGCAAGGGTTGTTAATGGATCCTAAACCACTCAGAGAAAGGTTGAATCTATGAATTAGCCACAATTCTTAATTGGAAAAATGAAAATGTGATTTTTCCAGTGGAAAGATACTGCAGTTCGCCACCTTAACCAAGTGATCATACCTGGCCTGGCTCCTGGTGGAATAGACTGCGTTAGTGACACGACACCGCCTAGGAAGTATATTTGCAAAATCATTTAGTGAATCTAACTTATCAAGCTTTCAGACTAATGCTGTCCAATAGAAATATAATGTGAACCACACTTGTAATTATTGATTTTCTAATAGCAACTTTTAAAAAGTAAAAAGAAACAGGTGAAATTAATGTTGGGAATACATTTTAAGGATCCAAGTATATTCAACCTATTATCATTTCTACATTTAATGAGGATTATTAATGAGATAGCTTGTATTTTCTTTTATACTGCATCCTCAAATCTGTATTTCATACTTCCTGCACAGTTTGGACAAAGTTTGAAACAGACATATCCAAGATGTGGGACATTCTGTAAGACACCTGTTTCTGTTTCTATAAAAAGTCAGTGTTTGGCGGGAGGTAGGTGGGGAGAAGAATTTCTAGATTCAAAAGAGACAAATGGAGAAGGAAATGGCAGCCCACCCACTCCAGTATTCTTGCCTAGGAAATCCCATGGACTGAGGAGCCTGGCGGGCTATGGTCCATGGGATGGCGAAAGAGTCAGACACGACTTAGTGACTAAACAACAAGAAACAAACCCACCACATGTAATACATGAGCCTTAGTTACATCAGAATTCTAGAAAGGAAAAACCTATAGAAAACATTCTTGGAAATTTTGAATGTGGATTGATATCAAAATTGCTGTTAATTTTATTGTATGTGATAATGGTAGGAAAACATGTGAAGTGCCATGATCTTTGCAGCTTATTTTCAGATAGTTTGACGATTAACAGTTATAAACTTCCTTATGCATGAAAGAAAATATGGTCAAAATGTTCACAGTTGTTGAATCTAGGTGAATTTTTAATGGGTAGTCATTATTAGTATTCTTTTTTTGTTTTTGTTTGGAGGTTTTCATAATAAATTCTCATAAAATAGATTATATAGAGTGGAAGGTAGATACATCCCTTTTTGTTTTTATGTTTTTAAACTTGGTACCTTAAACAAATATGTGTTTTTTGACGCAAACACTTAGGGACATTGAAATAATAAGTATAAAGGCTATGTGGAAGGAAAGAAATTTGTTTGACAGATTGGTGGTCTCCAGAGGTGGAGGAAAGGGGACAAAACGAGTGAAGGGAGTCGAAAGGTCCAAAGTGCCAGTCACAGAATAAGTCATGGAGGTGTAATGTACAGCAGTGTGACTCCAGTTAATAACACTGCATTGCATATTTGAAAGTTGCTAAGAGTAAATCTTGAAAGTTCTCATCACAAAGAAGAAAATTCTGTGACTGTGTATGATGACAGATGTTAACTAGATTCGTGGTGATGGTTTCCCAATATATACAAATATCGAATCATCCTCCTGTACACCTGAAACTAGCACAGTGTATGTTAGTTACCCCTCAGCTTTTAAAATTTAATTGAAGGACAATTGGTTTACAGTATTATGTTGGTTTCTGCCAAACATCAACATGAATCACCCATAGGTATACATATGTCCCCTCCCTCTTTCACCTTTTTTTTTGAAAAAGGTGTTCAATAAATATTTGTGGGATATTTACTTATTTATTCTTCTGTAAGAGCCCATATTTTGAAAACAATGTTTCTTTTGAGCTTGCACATACCTTCATTTTATTGTTGGTTGCTGTCATGGTCTACAAACTTTTTTTTCAAACTAGAATTTTTTTTTTTTTAGTTACTCTTATAAAACTGTGCTCACCATTATTGATGTGAATCTTTTTTATAAAGCTATGTATTTTTCCAGTTTTATTGAGTTATAATTGATCTATGATACTGAAAGGTTGTTGCTGAACCACGAAAATATGCCGGGATTCTTGGCCTCCGGAGGAGAAGAATTCAGTCCGGGGCCAGATGCTCAGAGCTTTTGTGTAATAAAGTTTTATTAAAGTATGAAAGAGACAGAGAAAGCTTCTGACATAGACATCAGAAGGGGACAGAAAGAGTACCTCCTTGCTAGTGTTAGCAATGGAGTTATATACCTTTTAATTAGTTATTACAATGAATCAAAAGAACTTCTCAAGTTTGTGAAAATTTTCCCAGACCCACTCTCACAATTTACATTTTAGGATAACAAGATTAGAATTTAACAATAGAAAGATCCTATCAGACCCACTCCCATAACACTTTCTAAGATATCAGGATTAGTCAGGTTTTCAGGAAGGAGAAACTATCCTCCAGCTGGATACATTGTTGTTGTATAATCCCTAGTACAGAGTTGTGTAATTGACTAAGACTAAGGAATGTAGAGGGAAAAAAATTTTGTCCTTTTCTCCCCCTTGAGAATTCCAGACTCCTACCTCCCCTTCAAGAGCCCCACACCCCTTTCTCCTCCTTGGGGACCCTGGACTTGTTATCAATCTACCTAGGAATTGACTCTGTCAATACCTTGTAAGTTTAAAGTGTATAGTGTAACGGTTTGAATTACAAATATTGTGATACACTACCACAACAAGTTTGGCTAACATCCATCATCTTATACAGATAAAAAGAAAAAAGATTTCTTATTGTGATGAGAACTTTTGGGATCCACCCTCTTAACAGCTGATTCATCTATATCATACAGCAGTGTTAACTGTAGGCATCTTGTGGCACATTGCGTCTCTAGCACTCTTTTATAACTGAAAGTTGGTACCTTTGGACCAGCTTTCTCTCATCCCATCTTCCCCCTCTAGAAACCACACATCTTACTTCTTTTTCTATGAGTTTGTTTTTTAAACTGTATATTCTAATTCAAAATCATAAAGAAGCATGTGACTTGCTGATAATATGAATAGGTATAATGCTTGGGTAATAATACCCTTTGGCATATTTGTAAAGATTCTTTATTAAAATGCGATTTGATAAGCAACTTCCTATTTGTCTGCCCTGTGTTGGAGCGAATGGGGACAGATGAGTCTTCTAAGAGGGAGGACAGTCAGTGTTCCCGGCAGGGAAGTGTCTCAGAAGTCTGACACTGCACCAGGTAGCCTGGTGTCTGGGAGTTAGACTTCTCCATGGAGAGCTTGGCTTCTGTCTAACTGTGTGACCTTGGACAAGTGAGTTAACTCTTCTCACCTGCAGTTCTCTTCTCTGTAAAGGAAGGGTAAGAATGTGCCTGCCTCACAGAGATTAAGATGAAATGAGGTCTTGTATGGGAAGTGTTTACTTAGCCAGTGTCTGGAACATTATAAATTCTTCAGAGTAGCCACAGTTTTGGAGAATGAAAAAATAAATAAAAAGCTTAGAGCTAAAACTCAATTCTGTATGGTTGTTTTTCTCCTCTCATCCTGATTCCTGGGGTACTGAAACCATGCTTTTATTGGGAATAGGGTAGAACCGAATCTGAAGAGTTATGTTTGTGTATTTTGTGTGTTTTTCAGTCATGGAACGTTGCTCCAAAGCCAAATATGGAGTAGACTTTGGATTTTTTTTCTTTAGAAGTTTCTTCAATTCTTTGACCTCGCTTAGCATAAAGAACATAGCATAAAGATGAATTTACTTTTTGAACTTGAAAAGCTATGTAGAAAGAATGTACTTCTTCCCTGAGATAGTCTTTCTTTTATAAATAGGAAAATACAGATGCAGAGGTTTCTCCATATGCTGGGTGGCAGTTAGAGTAGAACACTAGTTAGAGCGTTTTGAATCTGTGCTTGACCTTTCTCTGCCCGAGGACAGCTTTTTTTTTTTTTTTTCAGTTTCAGTTCAGTTGCTCAGTCGTATCCGACTCCTTGCAACCCCATGAATCGCAGCACGCCAGGCCTCCCTGTCCATCACCAGCTCCTGGAGTTTTTGCAAACTCATGTCCATCGAATCGGTGATGCCATCCGGCTGTCTCATTCTCTGTCATCCCCTTCTCCTCCTGTCCCCAATCCCTCCTGGGATCAGGGTCTTTTCCAGTGATTCAACTCTTCGCATGAGGTGGCCAAAGTATTGGAGTTTCAGCTTTAGCATCAGTCCTTCCAATGAACACCCAGGACTGATCTCCTTTAGGATGGACTGGTTGGATCTCCTTGCAGTCCAAGGGACTCTCAACAGTCTTCTCCAAAACCACAGTTCAAAAGCATCAATTCTTTGGCACTCAGCTTTCTTCACCCTCCAACTCTTACATCCATACATGACTACTGGAAAAACCATAGCCTTGACTAGACAGACCTTTGTTGGCAAAGTAATGTCTCTGCTTTTTAACATGCAGTCTAGGTTGGTCATAACTTTCCTTCCAAGGAGTAAGCATTTTTTAATTTCATGGCTGCAATCACCATCTGCAGTGATTTTTGAGCCCCAAAAGATAAATTCTGACACTGTTTCCCCATCTATTTCTCATGAAGTGATGGGACCAGATGCCATGATTTTAGTTTTCTGAATGTTGAGCTTTAAGCCAACTTTTTCACTCTCCTCTTTCACTTCATCAAGAGGCTTTTTAGTTCCTCTTCACTTTCTGCCATAAGGGTGGTGTCATCTGCATATCTGAGGTTATTGATATTTCTCCTGGCAATCTTGATTCCAGCGTTTCTCATGATGTCCTCTGCATAGAAGTTAAATAAGCAGGGTGACAATATACAGCCTTGACATACTCCTTTCCCTATTTGGAACCAGTCTGTTCCATGTCCAGTTCTAGCTGTTGCTTCCTGACCTGCATACAGGTTTCTCAAGAGGCAGGTCAGGTGGTCTGGTATTCCCATCTCTTTCAGAATTTTCCACAGTTTATTGTGATCTACACAGTCAAAGGCTTTGGCATAGTCAATAAAGCAGAAATAGATGTTTTTCTGGAACTCTCTTGCTTTTTCAGTGATCCAGCGAATGTTGGCAATTTGATCTCTGGTTCCTGTGCCTTTTCTAAAACCAGCTTGAACATCTGGAAGTTCACGGTTCACGTATTGCTGAAGCCTGGCTTGGAGAATTTTGAGCATTACTTTACTAGCATATGAGATGAGTGCAGTTTACAAACCATCTTTTTTGATGGTGCTTTTTCTAGGTTGTGTGTATTGCCACAATGGCCCATTTAGGGCTCCAGACATCTTTTCAGAATTAGATTTGCTCATGGAGAGTGATTAAATTATGTTTCTTAGGATAATTTATGCCCTGCATCTGTTTGTCACTACTCTCCCTGAGGTAAAGGAATAATAATATCTAGGTAGATAGAAGGATAGTCTATCTGTTGCTAAAATCACTGAGATGATAATTAAGATTAACTCTGGGGAGCATGAGTGAGTTCTAAGTAGAAGAAAGACAGGAAGCTCTCTTTTTTTAGTGTTAATTAGTTTTTGTAATTCCAAATTTGTATGTCTCTGTGTATTCATCATAGAAAATTAGGAAATATCAAAGGCACAAGGAAGAAAATAATTTGAAATCTCGACAGAAATCTCAACACCCAGTGATAACCCCGTGTACAGATTTCTAGGTATATGTAAACATACTTAAACTTGATAAATGGGATCATATTATAACCTGTTTTTTAATGACACTGTAGACATGTTTCTTTGTCCTGTTTGTTGCTAAATATACGCTCTATGTTGATTGGATATAGATTTACATAGTTTTTTAAGTTTTATGTAATTTTTTAAAGTTATGTAATTGCTAGGTTTTTCATTAAAAAAGATGAGAAGAAAGAAAAGAGACCAACTGTCAGTACTTTTGCAATGGTGAGTTTGAATGTATTCACTATTCTATATATATATATACACACACACAGCTGATTCACTTTGTACAGCTGAAACTAACATAAGGTTGTAAACCAATCTTACTCCAGTGAAAACAAAGCAAAACAGAAGAAAAATTGCTGTGACTTCTCTTGATCTAAAAAAGAGGTATTTCATCTGGTATAATATTTTCCTGGAGAGTATGTTAATGAAGAGGTAAAATGAACTCACTTAATTTAGCTCGTTTTCAGGGAGTGATGAGCATTGTACACAAACCTGTGTGCAGTGAGCCTCCAGAGTCCCCCGTCCTGGCCTGGGTTTCAGTATTCTCCTAACCAGTTATGTCACCAGTGATACGTCAGCTGCACAAGCTCTTCTCCCATTGGTGGTCTCAGTCCTAGACACAGGAAACCAGCCACATGGAGTGTGGTTCAAACAAAACCTGGGGTACGCTGTCGCCAAGGGCTCTAATCCCGGCAGGTTTGAGGTCAAAGTCCCAGGCACTCAGAAGTTAGCAATGGGTTATTAATTACTATGACTTAGTACCTGTTACTGGGCTTCTGTGCTGAATAACTGAAAATCTAGAATTTGAAAACCTTGATATACTTCTTTGTCTTATTTTCTGGTTTCATGGTGGCCACTTAGAAGCTTTTCTTTATTTAGATTTGGCATAAGACAGGCTGGTTGATGAGCCCTCTCTACCTGTATCCATTTTTGTTTTTTCTCCTAAGAATGCAGATTTAGAAAACTATGCAATTAGAACGTGGAAGACTTATTGAACCAATTAAGTCTTGTAGTACACAGTTTGTAATTCAGACATAACACACCAGACACTTGTAAAATTAACATGTGTGTGTGGGGTAGGCTATCTTATGAAATGAATATTAGTAAAATTGAATATTAAGTATGGTTACAGGAATAAAAAAAGAGCTCTCTTTTACACTCCAGTGATCTTATATGAACTTCATCTTCTCGCACTCCAGTTGCTCTTGATAAAATTCCACCTTTGAGTCTATCTTTACTCTCTTTGGAATTTTGGGGATATGAGACTGTGTACTTGAGTTATTCTCAGAAATAACCAGGTGACAGTTTTTGTTTGACATTTCATTTTATATTCTTATAATAAAAGAAGCTTTGATGTTAAAATAGGGTTTATTCCCTAGATTTAATTTCCAATTCTGTCATTTTGAGACCAGAATATTTCTGTCTTTTGTAATTTCGTTTTTTTGTTATAAGGCTAATTACTTTACAATATTGTAGTGGTTTTGCCATACACTGACATGAATCCGCCACAGGTGTACATGTGTTCTCCATTCTGAACCCCCCTCCCACTTCCCTCCCCACCCCATCCCTCTGGGTTATCCTGGTGCACCAGCCCCGAGCACCCTGTCTCATGCATTGAACCTGGACTGGCAATCCATTTCATATATGATAAGATACATGTTTCAATGCTATTCTCCCAAATCATCCCATGCTCGCCCTCTCCCGCAGAGTCCAAAAGACTGTTCTATACATCTGTGTCTCTTTTGCTATCTTGCATATAGGGTTATCGTTACCATCTTTCTAAATTCCATATATATGCGTTAGTATACTGTATTGGTGTTTTTCTTTCTGGCTTACTTCACTCTGTATAATAGGCTCCAGTTTCATCCACCTCATTAGAGCTGATTCAAATGTATTCTTTTTAATAGCTGAGTAATATTCTTTAGTGTATATGTACCACAGCTTCCTTATCCATTTGTCTGCTGATGGACATCTAGGTTGCTTCCATGTCCTGGCTATTTTAAACAGTGCTGCGATGAACATTGGGGTACACGTGTCTCTTTCAATTCTGGTTTCCTTGGTGTGTATGCCCAGCAGTGGGATTGCTGGGTCATATGGCAGTTCTATTTCCAGTTTTTTAAGGAATCTCCACACTGTTCTCCATAGTGGCTGTACTAGTTTGCATTCTCACCAACAGTGTAAGAGGGTTCCCTTTTCTCCACACCCTCTCCAGCATTTATTGCTTGTAGACTTTTGGATAGCAGCCATTCTGACTTGCGTGAAATGGTACCTCATTGTGATTTTGATTTGCATTTCTTTAATAATGAGTGATGTTGAGCATCTTTTCATGTGTTTGTTAGCCATCTATATGTCTTCTTTGGAGAAATGTCTGTTTAGTTCTTTGGCCCATTTTTGGATTGGGTCATTTATTTTTCTGGAATTGAGCTGCAGGAGTTGCCTTGTATATTTTTGAGATTAATTCTTTGTCAGTTGCTTCGTTTGCTCTTATTTTCTCCCATTCTGAAGGCTGTCTTTTCACCTTGCTTATAGTTTCCTTTGTTGTGCAAAAGCTTTTAAGTTTCATTAGGTCCCATTTGTTTATTTTTGCTTCTATTTCCAGTGTCTGGGAGGTGGGTCATAGAGGATCCTGCTGTGATTTATGTCGGAGAGTGTTTTGGCTATGTTTTCCTCTAGGAGTTTTATAGTTTCTGGTCTTATGTTTAGATCTTTAATCCATTTTGAGTTTATTTTTGTGTATGGTGTTAGAAAGTGTTCTAGTTTCATTCTTTTACAGGTGGTTGACTAGTTTTCCCAGCACCACTTGTTAAAGAGATTGTCTTTTCTCCATTGTATATTCTTGCCTCCTTTGTTGAAGATAAGGTGTCCATAGGTGTGTGGATTTATCTCTGGGCTTTCTGTTTTGTTCCATTGATCTATATTTCTGTCCTTGTGCCAGTACCATACTGTCTTGATGACTGTGGCTTTGTAGAAATCAACAGGCAGCTTGATTCCTCCAATTCCATTCTTTCTCAAGATTGCTTTGCCTATTTGAGGTTTTTTGTATTTCCATACAAATTGTGCAATTATTTGTTCTAGTTCTGTGAAAAATACCATTGGTAGCTTGATAGGGATTGCATTGAATCTATAGATTGCTTTGGATAGTATACTCATTTTGACAATATTGATTCTTCCGATCCATGAACACGGTATATTTCTCCATCTGTTTGTGTCCTCTTTGATTTCTTTCACCAGGGTTTTATAGTTTTCTACAGATAGGTCTTTTGTTTCTTTAGGTAGATATATTCCTAAATATTTTATTCTTTTCGTTGCAATGGTGAATGGAATTGTTTCCTTAATTTCTCTTTCTGTTTTCTCATTGTTAGTGTATAGGAATGCAAGGGATTTCTGTGTGTTAATTTTATATCCTGCAACTTTACTATGTTCATTTATTAGCTCTGGTAATTTTCTGGTGGAGTCTTTAGGGTTTTCTTTGTGGAGGTTTTCTATCATGTCATCTGCAAACGGTGAGAGTTTTACTTCTTCTTTTCCAATCTGGATTCCTTTTATTTCTTTTTCTGCCCTGATTGCTGTGGCCAAAACTTCCAAAACTATGTTGAATAGTAGTGGTGAGGGTGGGCACCCTTGTCTTGTTCCTGACTTTAGGGGAAATGTTTTCAATTTTTCACCAATGAGGATAATGTTTGCTGTGGGCTTGTCACATATAGCTTTTATTATGTTGTAGTATGTTCCTTCTATTTCTGATTTCTGGAGGGTTGTTATCATAAATGGATGTTGAATTTTGTCAAAGGCTTTCTCTGCATCTCTTGAGATAATCATATGGTTTTATTTTTCTGTTTGTTAATGTGGTATATTACATTGATTGATTTGTGGATATTGAAGAATCCTTGCATTCCTGGGATAAAGCCCACTTGGTCATGATGTATGATCTTTTTAATATGTTGTTGGATTCTGTTTACTAGAATTTTGTTAAGGATTTTTGCATCCGTGTTCATCAGTGATGTTGGCCTGTAGTTTTCTTTTTTTGTGGCATCTTTCTCAGATTTTGGTATTAGGGTGATAGTGGCCTCATGGAATGAGCTGGGAAGTTTACATTCTTCAGCAATTTTCTGGAAGAGTTTGAGTAGGATAGGTGTTAGCTCTTCTCTAAATTTTTGGTAGAATTCAGCTGTGAAGCCGTCTGGTCCTGGGCTTTTGTTTGCTGGAAGATTTCTGATTACAGTTTCAATTTCCATGCTTGTGAGGTGTCTGTTAAGATTTTCTATTTCTTCCTGGTTCAGTTTTGGAAAGTTGTACTTTTCTAAGAATTTGTCCATTTCTTCCAAGTTGTCCATTTTATTGGCATATAGTTGCTGATAGTAGTCTCTTATGATCCTTTGTGTTTCTATGTTGTCTGTCGTGATCTCTCCATTTTCATTTCTAATTTTGTTGATTTGATTTTTCTCCCTTTGTTTCTTGATGAGTCTTGCTAATGGTTTGTCAATGTATCTTCTCAAAGAACCAGCTTTTGGCTTTGTTGATTTTTGCTATGCTCTCTCTTGTTTCTTTTGCATTTATTTCTGCCCTAATTTTTAAGATTTCTTTCCTTCTACTAACCCTGGGTTTCTTCATTTCTTCCTTTTCTAGTTGCTTTAGGTGTAGAGTTAGGTTATTTATTTGACTTTTTTCTTGTTTCTTGAGGTAAGCCTGTAATGATATGAACCTTCCCCTTAGCACTGCTTTTACAGTGTCCCATAGGTTTTGGATTGTTGTGTTTTTATTTTCATTCATTTCTATGCATTTTTTAATTTCTTATGTGATTTCTTGGTTATTCAACAGTGTGTTGTTCAGCCTCCATATGTTGGAATTTTTAATAGTTTTTCTCCTGTAATTGACATCTAATCTTACTGCATTATGGTCAGAAAAGATGCTTGGAATGATTTCAATTTTTTTGAGTTTGCCAAGGCTAGATTTATGGCACAGGATGTGATCTATCCTGGAGACGGTTCCATGTGCACTTGAGAAAAAGGTGAAATTCATTGTTTTGGGGTGAAATGTCCTATAGATATCATTTATGTCTTATTGATCTATTGTATCATTTAAAGTTTGTGTTTCCCTGTAAATTTTCTGTTTAGTTGATCCATCCATAAGTGTGAGTGGGGTATTAAAGTCTCCCACTATTATTGTGTTATTGTTAATTTCCCCTTTCATACTTGTTAGCATTTGTCTTACATATTGTGGTG